TTTTTTTTTTTTTTTTTTTTTTTTTTTTTTTTTTTTGTTATAATGATAGATATAAATAGAAGTGTTTTGTGCTGTAGTATAAGTTTTGTGCTTTAGTATATTAATTGTTATTTATTTGAAATAACTCGGTCAGATCACTAGTAAATGAAATTTTTGCAGTTAGTTTAAGTGTAAAGTGAACTGTGTGTGTTTAGGAGCAAGAGAGAGAGAGAGAGAGAGATGGATGCAATAGATATATTTGTATGCTTACGGTATACAGCATACAATGTATATACCCATATTTGATCAGGAGTCATTATTTTAGGGTTACCATGGCTGTGCTATTGGGAAAGCAAAACAGGCTGCAAAAACTGAGGTTGAGAAACTAAAAGTAAGTATTGCTTATTATATCCCATGTTAGAATGTGATTGAAATGTTTCTCATGGTGTCGTAATGTCACCTTTTCCTTGTATAAACAAATACCAAAATGACTAAATTTGCAAAGAAAAAAATATATTTAAAACAATATATTTACTTATCTAATACAGATGCAGGAAATGACATGCAGAGAGCTGATAAAAGAAGCAGCAAAAATGTAAGTAGTGGGATTGTGTGGTAAAAGTGAGAGTGATCTTTACAGTAAATTTTAATGAACATAAGAGTATTTAAAGATATGAATTTTAAAGTTAGATATGAAGGGTAGATTACCAGTAATGTATATAAACTACCTTAACTAGTTTCTTATACATCTAAAAGAAAGTCAACATACCAATGCATAAACCAAATTATTCCCTCATTCAGCCAAAAAATAGCTTTAAAACTGCACTTTCATCCAATTTCTGGTCGGAAATTGGCCCATTTATCCGTTCCACCAGTTTGTCAAAGTTATCTAAATGACCTAGTACTGCACACGCATTGGATAAACATCACTCCAAGATATGGATGTAGCTGCACACCCAGTTGCAAACTTGTTCAAATGAGTTGCCAAAAACTACCAAGGGTTATACGTATATATCAAGAAAAGAAAACAGAAAAAATATCTGTTCAGATATCAGTCTTTCTGGAAATATGAAACAATGTTCTTTGGTGGCATTTGGCCAGGTCTTGTGGCAAAAAGTTTAACCTCAAATGCATCCTTAACAGTTTTCAGTTATTATAGTCTCAGTAATTATAGTGTAGAGGTCAAAGAGTATGGGATTGAAGTAGTCCCTGTCAATTTTCAATGATTACGCATAGCAACTCTGTTGTTTGGAATACAGGAGATGAAATTAGTTATTATGTACTTAATCACACACACACACACACACACACACACACAAAGCAAACAAAATGTCAAAAAATCAGTTATTTTTTCTTAAATGTAGAATTTAAAAGAATTGTCAGACGTAGATTAACATTAACCTCATCATTATTTTAATTATTAATATTATTTTAATTGCCATCAATATTATTGTAAACTTTTCATCTATCATTATTTTTCAGTATCTACATAGTCCACGATGAAGTTAAAGATAAAAACTTTGAACTTGAACTAAGTTGGGTAGGAGAGGGTAAGTATGCATAGACATAGTATGCATTTAAAGGCATGGTGGGGTGTTAGATATTCATGAAACAGATTCTGCTTGAATTTTCAAAACATTTACCTTGATGTCAGATTTTACCTCATTTATTGTATAAATTATATCTAAATGCATTTTCCATTTTTTTTTTTTTTTGGTGGCCTGGGTACTGATTATTTATTATGACCTATTACTGTTATATGCCTCCATATGAGGCCTAGAGTTGGAACTTCTGATAACATATATATCTATATGGCAAACAGATTCATATTGTGGTTAGTTACAACGTGCACGTCACCTAATTTTGTTGATACAAAATATTTTTTCCTTATACCTCTAGTGTTCTACACACTATAGTGGTAGGATGACCTTAAAACCACAAGTGCTGTACATTAGAATGAAATACATGTTGTGAATGTTTAAGCATCTGGACTTATTTTGTACCACAATTTAATGATTGAACCAGTCTTTGAATTTGCAGCTACTATAAATTTACCTGTTCATAGTTGTTGTGTGACAAACAGTTTGACAGTATCATACCAGACTGCTTACAAATATATATATGTAGAATTTTGGTAGTTCTGAAGATATGCTCAGGGCAGTATGTTCTCTTCTACATTCTTTACTGAAATTGTGCTTTTATTTCATGGGCAGAATTTTGAATTGTTTTAGGTGTTCTAGCTGTTTCACAACAATATTAATATGATTGTGATTTTACGCTCTTGTCTATCTAATTTTACATATATATATATATATATATATGAATGGAATTTATTACCACTGGAAATCCGATCAATTGAGTCTACCAAGCATTTTTAAAAAGAATTGAAGACATACCTATTCAGGAAATTTTTTGACTAATCGACTTTTAAATTGATTTTACAAATTTTTTAGTAATTGTATTTGTGCACTGTAAGAAATAGGGCTGTTCTACTTATAAATTTTTCGGGGTGCAAATAAAGTTGTTTTTTTTTTTTTTTACCTTGAATTGATTATTTTTTCTTAACAAACATATTTTATTTATGTAGTGTAAGTGCTTTTATATAAGAATCCGTATGTTTTATCTAGAATACTCTAAATTTTTTTTGCCATTAAGCTCTGTAATTTTTTATTTATCTATTCCTAATAATTGATTTCTTAAGTAATTGTTGCATGTATATGTAGTCTTCTGAGCATGTTATAATGGATTTTAGACTCAAAATAAATTTATTATTATTATATATAAATCTTATGAAAATCATAAGTCTTTAAACTGTAGTAACTTTTGTTTTTTTATTTGATAGTAATGTGTATGTGTAAAGTAATTTTCTTAATCTTCATAAATGCAGTTTATGGTGACAGTATTTTTCTTTCAGTATCTGGTGGTAAACATCAACTTGTGCCCAATGAGGTGTTTGTGGAAGCAGAAAAATATGCTAAGGTGACGTAAATTCTTAATATTATTTCCCGTGCAAATGCATGTATACTCAATGATAGTTTTTAGGTACATATAAAAAACTCATGGGTAATTTACATGCTGTGCACTGTTTAAATTGTGTAGGTAGGACTAGTAAAAGAAATGTTAAAATTATTATCGTTTATCCAGTTGAATAGATGCATTCCAAATGATTAGATTCTTCTAATGGAGCTTTAAAAAGTATAGAAACGACAAAGCCTATGCTTCATATGGATTCTCAGTCATGAGTCATTGTGCTTTTTAAAATCCAGTTTTGGAATCGGATATTTAAAGATTTTTGTCAAGGTGTTCATTGCATAGGGCTTTCATAGATTACATTCACCAAAGAAGTTATGTATTTAAATGAACCTCTGTTTGTTTCTTTGTTTGATTCCACCTGCCTAACTCAAAGAATTATGCATGGATTTTGATAAAATTTTTGGCATACTTCAGAAATGGGCTATCTTAAAAGCAATATGGTTTTAGTGGTAATCTGTTATCTGAATCTCCACCTGGATCCAAGAATTTTTAATAGGGCTTATGTGAAATGAAAGTGCTCTCAACTACCAAAATTTATCAGTGTACAGTTCTACAAAATTTTATCAGTGTATAGTCCAGCCACAATTTATAAATCACTTATAAATTTAGTTCTGCGCTGTATGAAAGTAGCTAATTAATGGGATGTTTTTTTTTTAAGACAGACACCATTTCTGGACATTTAGCCTTGACCTTGATCTGTCATCTATCTACTTAAGCTTGTAAGCACATTTGTGTATGAATTTTTTTATGTTTTACAGATTGGCATTTTTAAAGATTTTGAATTTTTATGGGTCTGATGCCCTGTGCTAATTACATTTTTCTGAAAGTCCACAATTACAGTAGTAACATTTTTCCACAAAAAACTCATACTGTGAATTTTCCTAGGGGTGAACAGTATTTTTCTCTAACCAACCAACCTTTGATCCTCCTTTCCTGACACTTGCCATAACTGTAACAATCTGGAAAAATAACAAATTCTGAACCACGCATAAGCATGGATTTTTAAAATTACGCCATTGCTTGGAGTGCTGACTTCCAAGTTCCACACAGATAAAAATTCTCAAGTCATTTGCAATTGGCTGGTGGCAAAGTTTATCAGAAGGTGAAAAATAAAATTATTTTTGGCAGTGTTTATTTATGGCATTCATCCGTTAAACTGATCAAAAAGTATTGCTTGCCCCAAGACAAGTTCATCAGGAAATGGTTTATGTGCTTTTCATTAAAAACAAGTCTTCAATACCTTCAAGCATTATGCAATATCACATCCATAACATAAGAGAGCCGTGTTGCTTCCCATTCTCAGCTTGAATGATTCATTGTCCTTGGTATTGCTGAAGTTTGAAACCAGCCAGATTAGTTCATTTTACTTTCTCTTTCAATAATTTCGGCCCTGCATTCCAGCTGAAGTTTGGGCGTTTATCAGGTCCCAAAATTTGTAAATTGTTGTATTAATTTGTCACTCTTACTTGCTTACATAGTTAAAAGTTACCTGGTCATTTGTTAGTTTTGCTCTTTTTGGTCATAAATGTTCTTTTTTTTGTGAATGGCCTGTTAATTTTATCTCAGAGGCAGGTTGTGGTTTTTAGGAATAGCAGACAAACCTCCCTTTTAAAAGATAAAAAAATGCACCTTGCTTAGTTAAAATGCACAAACTGTGCTTTTACATGAGTGTGTCTTGAGGGTATGTTTGAAGTATGAAAGAGTAATGTTGGGTAAGTAACATGATCACAGGAATGATTAAATAACAGATTAAATGCGTTTTCTACTTATGAGGCATGATGCTTGTTTTTTAATCCTCATTACACAGGAAACGATGAAACAATTTATTTCAGTGATAACATTTTAATGTTCTTTTGTTTTCTTTTTTGTCAGTTCCTCGTAATGGGGATAATTGCATTCTTTTTAATTCATTTTTTTTTGTATACCTTTTAGGAATCTATGGAAGAGTCTGATGAATCTGATGACGAGGACATGTGATGATCTTTCACCTTAAATCACTGATGGCAAACTTTAACAGGACAATTAGCATTCGTACATTGACATCCAATGCTATTTATAAGAGAACAATGTCAGTTTGGATAGATGGCACATGTGATGTAGAAATGTAAGAACTGCTGCTTTCTGTTTTGAATATATCATCACATTCCACTACTTGCCAAAGATAATGACACTTCAAAAAGTACACTTTCAAATGTCAGCTTCTAAGAACCACAATTTTTCATTGTTTGCATCTGTACTTTCCCATACCTTTCCCATACCATATTTGAGCATTTTTCTTGGAATGTAATGCAAGGCCAGACGCCGAGTTGCTGAGTTTCATATTGGTAAGAATATATTTTCAACAGTGGTCAGAAGTCAGAGCCATATATTTATGACTAAAAAAAAAGCAAGATATGGAAAATAAGGCAATTTTATAGAAAAAAAAATGTACCTACAGCATTGCACATGTTTGACTTAGAGGATGGATGCCATCTTATGTGAGGACATGTATCCAGTATATGTCAACTATTGAATATTAAAAAATTGGCTTGTGTTGTATGCTGGATAGTGTCATCTGTGTATTTTCTAGCATATTTGGCTTTGTGACTGTGAGAATATTGTATTGGTTTTATTGGAAGAGAACTATTTAAACATATGGTATTAAGTCATTCTGCACGTTCTTTGTTCCCTTTGGAAAGATGGCAGCAGGATTGACTTGCTAAGAAGCAGTGATTAGTTATAAAGAGCAAAATAAAAAGGTTTTTTTGAGAAAGTGAACTCACAACAGAAATCGATTGGATGTAGATCTACAGCAAAGCATTTCTCAAATGTGTTGAATAAATACTTTATATGGATGATTGCTTCAACTGTCTATTGTATCTATTTTAAGGTGCAAAAATTGAAAATTCAATTTAAACAACTAAAAGTAGACCCTTGTTATAGTAAGACGTGCAATATTTCCTGCAGAAAAGGCAAAGTGACATTCAAAATCTGAAGAATTTGTGAAAATAAGCATTTTTAATTTGCACGTATGTTTCCATAAATATTACTTGACATGTGTTTCAGGCAACAAGGTCTGACACAAGTGGGCTCTTTTGTACAGAATTTTTCTCACACATTAACTACCAAATCGTGTTTGCCACTAAAGTAACTCCAGTGCAAATATTTAACAAACAACAGATGTAAAAGACAACATATTGAAAAGTTAAAGGGCATAAATGGGTATTACTTAGATGCAAATTATATAACCCCCATGTGCCAACTTATTCAAGTGTATAATCTGTAAAGGAAGTTCATAAATGCTAAATGTTATATAAAACAGTAATGTTTTGTTTATTACATAATTAATAATAAACATAAATAAGAAAAAAAGGTTGTTTAACAGATATACATGCCTCCTCGTTGCCAATGTACTTGTATAATTATCAGCTTTTCTGTATTCTACTCAACACCAGAAAGAGGTGTGTCATTCAATAAATCTGATTGCATTCCCTGCAGAGTTGGATCAATCTACGTAGAACAATTGTGTCCACGGGAATAACAAACATTTAGATTTTTGTGGTGATCCATTAATTACAGTTTATTAATAAGTTAATTAAAAAAAGTTTGTTAGCAACATTATGCAGAAAAACTATACAGAAATTTGGATGAATTTTTCAGATGGGTCACAAATGGACTAGTTTTGGTGTTATTAATTAATTAATTAATGATAATCAGAATTGAGATACTGTATCTGAAGTGCATTTCTAGTTACTTGACGATTGCCTGTAAACAAAGGGGGTCTGTCCTAAATAATGCCAGAATACATGCAAATACACCAAGTTGGCAACACTGGCATTAGCACACTTTTTCTCTCAATTTGTGTCGTGCCAAAATATAATTATCAAAACTGCCAACAATTACACTTTTTTTCATTAAGGCAGTGCTTTCTGTTTTTCTACATTGCTGTTCATCTAAGGTGATTATGGTAATCTAGCCTCTGATGGTTTTTGTGGCTGAAAGAAAAATCCACATTTCCAAGAATTTGATGTTTTTCAGGCTATGTGTTAACTGCATCAACATGCTGAACAGTCTCAGGTAGTTTTCTGTCACGACATCAGAGTTTTTTTAAGTTGATGTAGCAGGGTTTTGTTTAATTATATAAATCTCCTTTTACGATTGCCACATTTTAGGAATTAATTTAGTAATGATGAGTAATGATTCACTTCTAGGAAGTACAAAAGATGCCCTAAATAGAAAAGAACGTCATTTTTTTCTCTTTGCATTAAAGGAATCAAATATGTGAAAGCAAATATTTTTCCTCATGACTCATTGCAACAAAGACTACACACTTTTTAATCAAAAAGATGCCAACAGAAAATCTCTATTTATATTCCTGAAAACATGCCTGCAATAATTTCAAGCTCTAATAATTTTATCATCTGATTAGCAGACAGTCTTCAATGATTTCCTGTTTGGTAGCAACTTGGGAGGTGAAAACAGAAACAAGAGTAGCCTACAGAAAACTATGCACAATAATGTATTCTTACAAGTATAAAAAATTGAAATATTTCACTGATAGAAAACCAGTGAAACCAGCACACTTCTAGCCAGACGCTAAGATTCTCCCATGCTTACATTGATAAGAACTGGTTTAAGTTCAATTGAAGTGAGCTTGGATTCTCTGTAACACATATAAACCACTTCTACTTAAGTTTCTTATATGACTCAAGTAAAGTTTACATGCTATGACAAAAACCAAATTAGTCACTTGATCAGTCACAAGAGAGCTTCAAAATTCTGGTCGTAAATTGACCTATGTATCCATCCCTATGGTAAAAGTCCAATGATGTAGCAATGTATGGACATTACTGCTATGTGGACGATGTTCAAATGAGTTGCTAAAAAGGACCAAAGGTTAAACAGCACAGAAAGAAGGCAGAAAATGCCCATTCAAATGTCATTTTTTTTTGGGGGGAGGGGGGGGAATAGGAAGCAATGGTCTTTGGAACTTCTTTAAATTATTGTATCTGTAAATAAGTGGTGGCATTTTGTGAGGTTTTATGGCAAAATTTTGACTTCAAATGCTTCTTAAATCTTTAAATAAAAACAAAAAATCTTTAGACTGTGCAATTGTTTGGAGACGACCTGTATATAAGCTTTTCATCAAATGGCATGACAAATCAGCCATACATTTTACCTGTTAATCTACTGATAAGGTTGCAATGCAAAAAATTGCATGCCACAATTTTTTTATCTTGATCTTTCTTTCAGCGTTCGGTTTTTAATTATGGATAAATTTCAAAAGTCTGAAGTGAAATAGTGTTACCATTTGCCTGTAATTTTGTTAACAAAAGAAGTGTGCATGCACCAGACATTGGTAAAGTTTAAAAATTTATTGATAACTACATGGAGAGGCTTATAATTGCTGTTAGCATATTCATATATCATAACAGAAGATAATAAGGTTAATTATTTAAAACCAAATTTAAAATGATGATATCGTGATTTCAAAAGGGCAATAAAACTTTAAAAAAATTACATAAACTTATATTCTATTGTGGTATGCATTGTTGAATTGATCTACAGCATTTCTAACCTCAGTGGAAGCATTTATTATCATTAGCATATGTTAAACACAAGAACTCATTGGAGTTTGTCCATAAATATTCAAAATTTACCTGATAACTGTTTGAACTTTTGGTCAGCCAGACTTTATTCTAGTCCATACAATAATCAAAGAGTGACATAACAGTACATGCTTTTGTAGCATGACCCATTGATCAAAAGACCCAAAGGAGCCCCAATAAACTATTGCTGGCCTGTTATTTCCTGGAAAGTACATTACTTGGAAAATTAATCAGAACTTCTTAATAAACTAAAGCAGCTTTTATTGATGTCTGTTTGCTGTTTAATGTGCTTCATGCGATAACAATACTAGTGCATTACAGGACTGTGGTTGCATAACAACATGCATTAATTCTTTTCTTCATTTTTTTTATTTCCTTCACCAGAAGGTTTTACTTTGCTCAGTACATTATGAACTATTTCTATTCAACACAAAGCTAAGCAGCACTTGGTTGCATTGCAGACTTCATACACCTATATCATCTTTTATTTGGCCATTGATTCCTATATCCAGTGAACTTGCAAAGAAATTATTGCAAAATTTACAAAGTTAAAATATGCACAAAATTCAGAATGGCCAAGAATGCTAGGCCAAAGTGACATCCACCCTTGTTTTTTAGCTGCATTAACATAACACATAAATAAGATTTAGGAAACAAAATAGAGCACTAGTCTGTACTAAGCTCAAATAGACATGATGCCTTTCTTTTCTTCATATGTATATATATTTATTTTTTATGTAAGTATTGCATTTTTCATATAAACCTTGCCAATCCAGAAGACTTGCGATATAAATACCCTTGCAGGTCTTCTGGTATATCAAGCGGTCATGACCTGTCAAACTGGCAATTTTCCCATGTGTGGGTATTACTCCATCCTTGGCATGTACCAGTACCAGCAACACATGATTATACACTTGGCATATCCTATAATCTTATCCGGCAATTTGAGATCTGATAATAAGCAATTATTAATAAGCCTGTTACATACAATAATTAACTTTGGGTGAGGTCAGAAATTGCATTTTCATTTTAGCCAAATGCATGACATTGCAACTTAGCACATTAATTGTAAATAATTAAAAAGGATGTAACATGCTATATGGACATTAACCCAGGACGGATGCAGCCTGGTATGTCACAATAATGACCAAACATGATACAAAATTGAAAGTCCCTCTAAGCCATTCTTTTAAGAATATTTTCTTTTAAGAATATTTAAAAATATTCTGTTTCAGGATTGTTGAATCATTCTCTTAGTTAATTTATTATTTTTTTACATACATGATTTTGATTAAAATAGTTTGGTAAAGGGTATGTAAAAGTTATTTCGTTAAAGGATAGTTAAAGATATGATGAAGAAAGGCAAAGACGGAACAATTAAACTACTACAGTAATACTGTGGGAGACATTTTGATATGTACTAACATCAGAAAGACCAATTAAGAAACCATTAAATAGCAATGTTCATTCCTCCGAGTCATACATCAATTTAGATGGTAACTTAAACAGCAATAAGCCTTGGAAGAAAACAGACCCCAAAATTTCAGGTGTGCTTAAGGCTACATTCCATGAAATATATCATTATATCAACTAATTTGTGTTTTTTCTTTCATTTTCTTATTCATGTATCAATCTATCATATCTTGCATATACTAAGGGACCATGATGATCAACATCAATAACTGGTATGACTGTAATTGTGCTAGGGTGCCATTTTTTACCTGTTAAAGTACATGGACCAATTAACTCAAACAATTTTCTTGGGCATGGATAGCAATCCAGTCAGAGGATAACTCTGTTACCACTACAAACCAAATTGCCAAAATTTATTTATTAACAAAGGCTTTGTTTACAAATGTCCTTTGAAAATTGAAGATTAAAATTAATAAATGAAAAAATCTTAATAGAGTGCTTTAAAAAACTGGTCACACTCCTCTGTAGTACTCATGCACAGCTCCTATTTGCCATTGGAATTTTTCTGATAAGAGCCCAAGTAATAGAGAAAATCAAGAATTCAAGAAAGGCACTTTAACCCCAAAACTGCAGATGTGACATCTGGAGTAGAATATTAATATATGACCATATTTTTTTCTGAAGACAAATAACAACCAAGATTATTAATATATAACAATTTCTTACAATATCCAGTTTTATAAATTAAGATAATTATTAAAATAATAAATTTTATAAATTAATAAATAAAGTTGTTTTTTTTTAGCCTGACTTTGGCTAACAGGGTAAATAACCTTGAATCGGCACTTTCTAGAGAAAACCAATTTTACACAACAGACTCCCATTTAATCACTTGAGCCAGAATACACAATGATTCAATGAACATGGCAGAATAAAGCAAAGTGAAAGTGGCGTGCAAAATCTGTGAAAGCAGAACACAGGCCCAGTAAGTTTTCAACTAGCCGTTTCCTTGTTTCATGGATATTACCTCCATCTTTCTATCTGTTGAAGCCCAGTTTCACCACTGATGAGTATTGTATGTTTAATATTCCATTTAAAACATATTATGGCAACAGATGGTATTTGGATAACTGTGAGTAAAAACATTCAAACACAGTGATTGCAAGTAATGAATGAGATAAAGTTGACAATCAACTGAAAAAATATAGAAAGTGTTATAATACATACATGCAACATACATCTTTTCATATTTTATTTAACACTAAATAGCAGAGGTACAATTACCTAAATATGGAAACATCAATTTTATGTTTTGAAACTACTGACCTGGTATTTCCCCTAATGAAACATTTTCTACTTCAAAAAGAGGATCAAATCAGGAAACATCGGGGGCGTCTCGATAGTTCGAAGGTTCGTTGGTCCGAAGGTTCATTGGTCCGAATAGTGGTAACATTTTCATCGATTTTTTAATTAAGGGGTTCATTGGTCAGAAGGTTCTATAGTGAATATTCGGACCAATGAACCTTCGGACTATTGAACCTTTGGACTATTGCTACGGCCCCGAAACATCTGTGCTGCATAGGGTTTAGCCAATTCCTAATTTCTGAATAAAACATTTCCTTTTAGTCTTTTAAGCACTAGTGGTGTATAACAATCAATTTTCTTATTTCAAATTCTTTGCTGATAAAAAACAGAAGAATGAAAGTTTGAAAAATTCTTATAATTTAAAAAACATAAATGAGTCTATGGAAAAATTAATTGGGCTGGAACATAAAAAACACAGTTTTTCCTGACGTGCTTAAGTCCAATATGCTTCATTTAAATTTGCTTTAAAATCACTTTTTTTTAAAACTAGATGAGGCCTGTAATGAGTAACCACTCCACAATAGTGAAAAACAGTGGATATGTTATCTGAAGAGACTGTGGGTTTGTTCTCCATAATCAGATCACACCAAAGACAAGAAAGCATTTTAAAATTTAAGAAAGAAAGAATGAAAGTGAGAGACAAATTGAGAATCATACACTAATATGAACACTTGGTAATAAATCAAGCAACCACTGCAATGTTTCCAAGAGAGAAGTTAGCATGTGGCTTTGAGAATTGTTTACTGCCTCAAAAACTACATACTAGTATTCACTCCAGTTGCTAACACACTGCTGTTACTATTCCAAAAATTGAAGTCCTTTATTCAACTGTAAAGGAGTAATATTGCACATATTCCAGAAAATTGTTAATCTCTTGGTAACAATTTTTTGAGAAATAAATGTCAACAATGAGAATAAATTGCAAACTTGACTGTATTTATTAATCATAAATTCCTAAAACTAGAACATTTTTTTAAAAATTCCTGTGGAGCAACAAAATATAATGGCAAGCCAGCTCATATTTCTATACTTATACTAAAAGCACGACAAGTGGTATAGAGAAATATAACATTTTATGATTCCAAAAGTATTTGTCTAAAAGATGATTTTCCCTATTGAAAAGACTGAGTTTATACTGTATAACATGTCCTTATATGTTTATCACAATAAAACTGGGCAAAATTGTGAAATGTAACAGATATTGCCTCAGTTTAACCCTGTAGCTTAAAAATTACGACTGCAGTTCCTCTATCTGGGAAAAACATGGCATGTAAAGGAAAACTGCTTTCAAGGACATATGTACAAACATGTAAACATATTCTCAGAGGCAAAGGTAAGCTGTTCTTGATTAATCCCTCTCCAAAATTCCATTTAATTATTTATTCTGCACAAACTGTCTCCTTGAGTTTGTGGAGTCTGGAAAATCTCTTCTCTCTTCTGCCTGGAAACAGGGTTGGCATGCTGATAGAAGACAATCGGACAAGTTTCCAGTGTCCCCTCAACTTCAGGATGTGTGTCTGACTGAAAATGAAACTTTGATTGAGGCACAAGTGCTTGTAAAATACCAAACGAGATTATGAATAGATCCGAAAAAAGACATGTTTAGGCCTGCCATGCTACAAATTAACCAATTGTGAATTAAATCTACAAACTATAATGTAAAAATGAAATAAAAAAAATATATATATATATCAGGTAAATGCAGAGAGCTCATCAACATTACAGCTGTAGCTTTATCCACAGGGTCATTTACAGGGGTGGATTTAGGCCATCTTCTGGGTCTTCCAGAAGACGGTCAGATTTTCAAGTTTACATTGACGGGTATCTATTTTTTCTGTCGGAAGACGGTCATAAATGGAGGATGGATCAACAAAGTTAATTTAGAAGACCGTCAGAAAATATCTCAGAATCTGCCCCTGATTTATATTGTGTTATTGCAACTGTTTCTTCAGCTATAAAACAGTATGATAAACACAGATGCATGGCCTACAAAAATACATCTTCATAAGCATAAAAATGAAGATAATGATCCAACAAAGAACACCTGCCCATTTATATCTGGGATATTTAATGATATCCCTTATATATGTGAATGATACTAGGGGCACTTATTTTAGTTCAAAAGTACAAACATAATCTTGCATACAAATGGCTTTACAGAATAAAATAGAAAAAAACTAAAAATGGATGAATACACATATACATGCATGAAAGACTGGATTCTGTAAAATACACACACACACACACACACACACACACACACACGATTTAAATCAACAACAGGGAGAGGTGGATGGAGGACTTTAGTACAATGTAACACCAGCTAGCTTCTCGTATGAAGAAAAAAAAAGCAGTGACTACTGTCAGGTTAATGCATTGTATTTAAATCTCTTGGGTGATTGTAAATCAAGCAGTCCATCAGGATGACCCATCCATTAAGTTTAATTGCTTCAGTCACAGTGGGAGTGATACATTTGAAAACTGTATGACTTTTCTTTTATATGGGTAGCAGCCAGTACTCTCACAGTGCTAAGCCTTGGGCCCCTTTTCTAGCTATATATCGTGTGAGTGATGGATAATTATATTAATATACATGTATAAAAGACTGGATTTCGTCAAATTCACTTATATACACTCCATAAGAAAATTAAATATACAGAATGCAGCATACCTATTTATTATGGTAAAAACCTACACCAGACCTGTAGGCAAGGGCAGTGCAGGGGGGGACTGGAGGGGTTAGAAAGAACCACCCTTTTGGCCAGAAAGGGTCTAGTCTTAATCACATTTTGATATAATAAGGTCTATGCCATAAGTGATTGGACTAAAGGGATAAGAAGATTCACTTAAATAGAAGAATCCCTCTTTGAAAGTAATGGATTCAGACCCTTATACAATTGTGCGAAAAACTCCCCCTAACACTAAACCCTCTCAAGCCCAGTCCAAAACATGGTTGTTTACAATTTAATGCCTATTACCTACATGTATGTTCAACTAGTAGAATCTCTTCTTACTTGTTACGGGAGTGGTAACAAGATACAAAGAAATGTGAGTCATTTTAATGCTTATAAGCTACTGCTTAGAAACATTATTTTCATGTTTCATTTCATTAGTATGTTTCCTTAGTGAACAAAATCTGTTAAGCAAAGAAAATCACAACAGAATTGGTACCTATTACACTGATTCAAGATGTTTTTTTCTCTTCATACAGCCTACCTTACTGCTAGTTCCTACAGTGGCAAGACGATAAATGCAGTATAATTTATTTTATCAAGGTGATAGGTTCAAAGGCATATGTGAAATGAATAAGACGGGAATAATAATTAAGTTACAGGTAAATTAGACAAAATATTAAGATATATACACACACACACACACACACACACACACACACACACACACTAACAGCACTTTCTGTTATTGACAGATACAGATCTAATTCTACTTCATATTTTCTGTCCATATACCAAAAAAGGCAAATGACACATTAATCCTAAGACTTCACATTAATCCTAAGGCTTAAGGGGGTAAAAAGTTTTATTCACATTTTTAATTTTAGAACTGATCTAACCAAATATGTATATTCATTCAAAACATCTTTTTGGTGCTGCTATGACAAAAGTTCTTAAAAAGAAGGGTCAGTAGTTCAGAGTTTTCCACCCTAAACTGACCATGCAGATAAGTGATGAATATAATTAAAACACTTTAAAGTATTGAAATATATAAGGATTCTCAATCATTTAATAATAAATAAAAATAACTGCAAATTTAAGTTATAATATAATATTGGAGGGGGCAGTATCAAAGTAGAACAACAAAAGAATACCAAATTATTTGAAATCAATGATAAATATATTAAAATAAATAAATAAACAACAGTAAATTTTAGTTTTGATAAATAAATGTTAGGTGGGAGCAGCATCACATATAGAACTACACAGGAATTCAATTCCAAATAATTTCAAGTAGATAAAAAAAATAGAAGTACCAAGCCTTCCATATCTATTTTAAACATTTCCTGAAACACCTTTTCATTAATCATGCATTTCCAAATAAGAACAATTACAGTGGAAATTCCGGAGTGAGATATACTATATGCTTCCTCTTTGCGACTTTGCACTTTCCAGTCTCTACTTTCCTGCATTTTTAGAGAGGATCCTGGATGTACAATGCAAATTTAATACACTTTTTGATACAATTTAGATCTAAATGTTTTCATTTCTGCAGTGTCAATGACCTTATGGCATGCTTTGCTTCAAACCAGCGACCGAACCATGTTTCAACCATTTAAAATCCATCCATGAACTAAGCTCACCGCAAACTTCATTTACCCCTAATATGACCTCAACTACCCCTAATATAACCTACTAAGTATACAGATTCAATAAGGAGTACCTGTCTGCACTATGTCAATCTAAATGAAAGTGACCAACCTGTGACCGTGTCCGGCACGGCTTTGCTGCCATTACCGCAGTCGAGGGAATTCCCCGAACTGGCGTGACGTCACCATACCCATTTATGGAAATGGGGATTCCTGAAGCTGACTTCCTTCTTGGAAGACTCGACTGCTGATTTCCCAGTAAATCAAACAAGTTAGAAGCTTAGAATCGATGATATACATGAAAAGGAGGGATAAACCGTCAAACGAAGCAGTATCATACAGATATACGACTGACAGGGTTGATGTCTTTGCTGATTGAACGATCAGCTAACTCAGCGCTTTGGAGCACCCAAATGCCTGTAACGGCAGGTCCGGTGGCATTGACCGAATTACATAATATTTTAATTAGACTTCAACAAAACGATTATGTAGGAAAGACTAAACTAAGTACTCAAGATCGATGCACGGCGTCTAATTCTCAGAGTATGAGCCCACGCTTTGACGAAAGTGCTAGTCGCAATACAGACTCCCTACCTAAGCCTCCCCCGCGGACGTACAAGGACATGAAAGCTACGGGTGAAGGGGTCATGAAACCAGCACCAAAGTCATATAATGGAGATAGCATGAGCACAAGTCTTAAAATACCCGACAAACTGAAAACAGAGAAAGATTTAGAGAGAATATCAAAGACTCTAGAAGCTTTATACAACTCATTTTGGTACCACGAAGATATGACACGTCAGGAGGCAAAGTCATTCTTAAAAGACTCCGAAGTGGGAACGTTTCTGGTACGGAATAGCAGCGATCCACATTATCTATTTGCACTAAGTGTTAAGACGAAAAGAGGAGCAACGAGCGTTCGTGTGGAGTATATTCGTGGTAAATTCCGTCTTGACTGCGAGGACGCATTGTTGAATCAGATGCCCCGGTTTAACTGCGTCGTAAAGTTAATTGAATTCTACATCAGATTAAGTGAAAATGACAACAGACATCACTGTGTGTGGCTAGAGAGCACGGGGAGGAGAGACGTACCTGTGAAATTAGTAAAACCAGCATTTAGTGCCGTACCAAGTCTACAGCATTTATGTCGATTAACAATTAATAGATCAATGAATAGGCCAAAACTTGAAGACGGTTTTGTAGACTGCCTCCCATTACCTACAAGGCTAAAAGCATTCCTTGGGGAATATCCCCATAAGCATTAACGTACGGCACAACAGGAATCCATAATCATGTATGTTGACTTTCTAATATATGATATACCGTTCCATATAATTTATTCGTGCGAGTCCAGTATGAGAGGATTGTTCGTCGATGTGTACGCTGTGTGATGTACTATGTATGGTGTATTACCCATGACTGATTAGCAGAATATAATAAATTGCCGGATATTAAGCTAGGTTGTGCTTAAGATAGATGTCTTCATCTTTTACGTTAAAATAGATCTGTTTAATTTCAAAATCAGGATTCTTAAGGCTACGGAATTATAGTAAAACTATGTCTTTTTGTATGAAACAATAACAGGAATAACTACGTTGTTATCTTGAAGAAATTTAATCGGCTCACTTTTCAATAATTTTACTGGTTATTTGCACAAGAAAAGTCGATAATATGTTAGTTTGCTAGGCTGCAATTCAAAGAACATTTCCTGGAAACTTTAAATGGAGCACTACTCAGAAACGGGAACGTCCCTGGAATTAACCATATCAAAAGAGCGGGAGCTTCATATTGATGCAACTTAGGCCTGGGAATTTGGGTTTATTTAATTGCCATGAACAAAATCTACAAGAGATATCAGCAGCATAGCTGAGACTTGTAACACTGACAACCAATGTGCACCAAAACGTGCCGTTTACTGCACTTGATTGCAAATTAGATATATTGCCATTATGTCTCCAATCGGGTCTGTTCCAAGAATGCAATTACGACAATTATATGCAGCTCCGGGCAAATAGATTCCAGTGAGACGCATTAGCACGGTGACAGGTGGATACGATGGGAAATCACTCAAGAGCTTGCTTTGGTAGATTTTTTTGTTTAAACCATTCACGATATCTTGGTCTTCAATACTTTTTTATGCTCAGGGCCGGATTTATGTGTAAGCAGACTAAGCACGTGTTTGGGGTGTCACGACTAATTAAGGGGGCTATTTATACATAAAAAGGGAAAATGTTTAATAAAAATTAAGAAAATTATATTTGGATGACAGGGGAAGAAAAAACAAAAGTAGACAAAGTAGAAGAATATTTGAGGGTTTATAGTAACAGGATTCTTTTAAAATATTGTGTAATGGGGGGGGGGGGGGCATGGTGTTGTGAGTGCTCAGGTCACCAAGAGAATCCGGCCCTGTATCAAAGTTACCTCCTTTTTTTAATTGATAACTGTGCTCTACATCGGATGAAGATAAATAAGATAGTGATACGACTCTTTTAACTTCGTTTCTGAGAAGTGATACGAAAATTGTGAATATTTGTAGTATGTTGTTTTAAAACGAGCCGATACCAAAGAGAAACTGAAGTATTTACATAGAATACATGGCCGCTGTCGTCGTCTAAAGCTTTAGTTTTTGTTGCTTTTTTATTGCGTTCACTCATTCATACTGTCTCTTTGAAATAGTGATGATGATGCTCCAAAGAATAAATGGATTTTGGTTGACGTCATGGAAAATAGCTTTTTAACATAGGGTCAATTTTTTAAAAGTTGAATCTGAATTTGTTTTTCGCCACAAGCTTTAAAATGATTTCATTTCATTTCAATTGCAAAGACGCATATCCTATTTGTATGTCTGAACTGAATAACGGACAGTTCCTTAACGTTGAAAGGAATGTTGTCTCACTATTTCTTAAAAGGAAAACATGAATGCAAATACGGACACGCAAAAGGAAGACACCACTTTCGTTATTGAATCACGGTATTTCCATGAAGACAATCGGTTCATTAGGCCTAAACCGATAAGGGGCTCCGTGCGGAAACCCCCTAACACGAATCAAGCAGGGTTTTGTAGGTATCTGCGCCAATCGTGACGTATTGCAGCTTGATATCGGTGATATTTTGGATGGGCATGTCAATGTACACAAATTTCTTTGGCCCAACTTATTTGCTTCTCTGAAAATTTACTCCAAGTGTCATCAGAAGCGCAATACGTCGATATGCGTGGGCAGTTAGACGAACTCTTAAAATTATCTCTTTGGCTGGCACTATAATATGATACCAGAATGTTATGATAATAATCACCGAAGACTAAGAATCGCAGAGGATTTTGTTTAATGCTGCGTTCTATTCAGTTGGTGTGGCTAATGTTTTAAAACCAAAATGACATTAGTTTGGTTTTATCGCTGAATTAATTCGTCCGTGGAGTATTTTAGTCTGCAGTCTCATCGGGTTCACCTTTACAACGCCACACGACACTAACTTGCAAAAATGCACCTAAGTACAGACACAAGTGCCTACACTTTCGGTCGTCGACGGAGACGTGGTCTCTGGTTAACACAGTAAATTGTAAGAGGAGTTACTAATTTTAAACTATAGATTCAATGTCAGTCTGAAAGAATTATTGTTTTGAAAGTTCCCTTTTTTATGGGGAGGGGGGGGGTTGTGGAGGGTTAGCACTGTTTTTTTTTTTTCATAGTTGTTTGGTTTTTAATCTACAAAGCCTACATGTCAATGTAAACCTGCATAGAAAACATTTTCTGCTTATTGCCACTTGTGAAGAAGCATGAAGAAAAGTTTTCAAAGAAACAGTGTTCGGGAGTGTCAAACAACAACAACAACAACAACAATAATAATAGTAATGGCTCTCACAGCCGAAACCGCACTGTATCGTTTTTATATCGTATAGTTAAATGAGATAATTTTGAAAACACGATGCTATAGACAAGTCTAAAAAATCAATTTATACGTTCATTTCTCAAATATGGTAATAATTCCTCATTAATGATGTGTTATCCAATTTGCTACAGAAACAGATCCTGGAATCAATTTATCCGCAAAAATACAATGTTATCGTTCCAAGAAAAAACAATCAACTTGTCCTTGACTGCCGCAGAGCGAGATTAATATTGAGGTCGTATATCAAGTCTTTATCCTCGCGTAATTTTTAACTATGGGTAGCGTGACTTAAACCCATTAATCATTGGTACCGTAAAGAAAAAAATCCATGACACTGAACAGAACTTAACCTTTTTCATTGCAATTAAAAGTCTATAAATAGGTCTACTTACTACTTATGTAGTACGGCCACAATTGGCGCACATAGGATTTACACAGCGTTTTCGACAATTTTTAAAATTTAAATATGAACATATTCAGCGTATTTTTTCTCAATATAAAAGCATGTTCAAATTTGATTGAAATCAATTGCAATTTCTCGCCAATATCAAACTGTGAACGTTTTCCAACTTCACTGGTTTCTGGTAAAAAGGCACAGTTAATATTAACTCACGCCAGTCAACCAACCTGGCCGATTTTCGAAAGGAACCAGCCTCTTCAAATAGGAAGTAAATCAAAATATACGGTTTGGCACTTGTGGATCGAACGTCACCAAAATATATGCAAAACGTTTAAAAAATCAAGAACTTTTTAAAGATAAATCCGACAACGCATTTTTAATTTTTTAAAAAATCTATTTATTCTTTCTTTATAAATACGGTTATATGGGAAACAACAGCTGTGCCGGACAGCAACGACAGTGGCGAAGGCACTGATAGGAAGTGATCAGAATGCATACATAGGGCCTACACATACAGCGTCTGCCCTTATTAAAAAGGTAGAAGGAAGAAAACCCGGACTACAATGTAGCTCTGTCACGTGATACGATGAAACAAACAGTGCGTGCCAAGCCAAGCTTGAATGTGGATATAATAGAGAATAGAAGACATACATATGTTCCCATACAACAGTAACTCTAAGGCTTTTTAGTCTTGACGGTAATAGTATCTAAACAACATTGCTCTCAATTACTGTTCAGCTAATGCAAACAGTGCAGATACATATATTAATACAGGTGAGCTTCCTGTAAATTATCGAGAGAGAGAGAGAGAGAGAGAGAAGAATAAGTGGTTAAAAAAACGGGCTTATGAAAACAAAACGAAACTGCTTTAATTTAACCACAAAAGAAGGGAAAGAGAGGAAAGATAGCGTTCCCTTAGTCCCATAAAATAACGCCTACGACGTGTGAAGAAAGATGGTACCATAACCAAGATACCACGTAAAGCTAACTCCAGGACCATAATCGTTAAGATAATGGTTCACATAACAAATCTAACACACCAGTAATTTAGCCGTGCAGATGACTTTTATTATGTATGATGCTATTTTCAAATATCCGCTTGCACTGCTTAATCTAAGAGTGACTTTCTGTCCTACGTAATCTTACAACCACACAAGGAAATCTCAGACAGGTAACGAATGTTCACAATATCCAAAACATGCGGAACGCATTCTGATTTCTGTTAATAGTAATAATAAATGACAAAACAATTTGCTTAGAATGTTGAGGTATTTCCCTTACATGTTACGCGGAACTGGGTGGGTCAATACATGTTCGACGTGGTGCGGTTTTGGGAGGTTTCATTTTCTTTAAGTAAACCATTACTCATTTTTAACTATAAAGAACGGATAATAACTGATGCCAAGTCGATACATGCATATAGTTTTTAAAGAACCAACAATTTGTATTTAATACAAGTTGAAAAAAAGAACTCCATATTAAATGCAAATGGCGTCACTCTTCAAACTGCACTCAGTACGGCCCCTTGAACTCTCTTAACGGGAAACGGTGAACCACTTCCTTGTACATTCCTCTGTTACGGCATGGAGCCTTTTCACTTAAACCACAGAGTAAACACCAGAGCGCGTCGATTAAAGTTTAACATCACTATAGAGTGACCGCATCCTTGATCGAGTGCTAAGAATTAAGCACTATTTCATAATCATACGATTATCCAACTATGAATCGAGATGTACTTCCTACCAAAGGCCCAGCTGGGTGGAGTCTTTTTTTTTTAATTTTTTTTAAACTATTTTTTGCACAAATTCTGACTGTAAAGAAAATTGCAGAGATCTATCTATTGGTTTCTAGCGGCAAAAGTGTGACCCTTATTGAAGTATTAAATATATTCCTTACAAAATGCACTACCTTTATTAAACGCAAGTAACAGGCGAAGCCTTCAGGCAATACTTTCAAGGCTTACGTGTACATTCAGAAATAACATCGAAATATGGGAATAAACTTTTATCTCGAATGCCATTTAGGCATTAGCGGTAAGCCAGACGTCTTCCGATCCAGACGGTTTTCTCCGAACTCATCTTTTAAGGAATACCCCATTGTCCTTATCGGCACAATTATTACCGAGTCTATCGTGTTTTATGGCAAATACAGTTTCTAATGCCATGTATAACGTTCAAGTGTACATTATCCGACTCTTCCGGACAACACAAATCACCTTTTCCGATATATTAACTTAGATCCTAGTCAATCAACATCTTGAGCCAGGATCACGTTGAATACCAATTTGTTTTATCTGGGTCTGCAAGTTACTGTGTGTATTTGTGCAGATGTCAGACTTATATTTTTGGTAACATTATTAAAAGAAGTAACAACAGGCAAATGCATATTCCCATAACTTTTAATGAAACAAAATAAGTTAATAGTACCACATTTCATCCCGTTTCTATAATCATTGACATAAAATCTTAGCTGATAAAATTAGGCTTGTTAAAATGACCAATTTATATATTATCATACTACATAAAGGTTCTTCTGGCTTATTCACCATGTAGATTATTTTCATCTACTGCTAACATCGGGTAACTTTTACCACCGCCATCTCGCACAAGAAAACAACCGTCTCTATCCAAGACTACGACCTGCAAGTCTACACATTAAACACATAACCAGGCAATGAAGGAAACCAAATTTGCCCGTGAAACGAATAACCTAATTTTCACTACGAAGTGTAAATGACACTGGTCACGTACATGGGCCATGTAAGCTGAGTATCTCTCAATATAGCGGTACTTATATGAGTGCAACTCAAATATACAAGATGTGTCTCAGTGCTCAGCTTCTCTACTTCTCACTTTTTAGACATAACGTATACCAATAACACTAACATTACCTTTTAAGGTAAATAAATATAATATTTAACAATTTAATAAAATAATTTATTGTCACATGTTACAGATTAGACCCATTCTTAATGACTTATTGGAAACTCCACATAAAACTGATCATCACTAATTGCTGAATCAAGCACACTTCAAACCCTCCAAATCATTCTCCATGTCGTGAGCATAAATAGCACATCTCAAGTATCAGCCCTGGTATCAAATAAGATTATAAATATCCCCAAAAGTCACACTGACAGCAATCCCATTTCCTAGAAATTCAACTTTAGAACATCCACTTGAAAATGTTTTTTTTCCAAAAAGAAAGACAAATCAATAGTGTAACTGGCATATACAGATACGCAAAATTACAGATTTAAAGCAAAATAATAAATGAAGATACTTTCCAATGCTCCAATTTTATCGCATAAGCAACAATTTTTTTCCCAAACGGGTGGTATTGTTGAATTTGGGTTTAATATATTTTTGTTCATGAATAAGTGTCATGCATGAAACATGCTTAGTCATGTTTTTACAGTGCCATACTTAAAGCCTCAGTAAGTGTCCAGCATATGATGGTCTTTCAAAAACAACCATAAAAAGTTAAATAAAACTGACAAATTCTACAAGTCATACTGTCATTTCTGAAGAGGGTTCACAATTTTTTAAAATCATTCAACTATTTTCAATATTTTTAATTCAAAAATTAATGCTGCAGTAGTAGTGTATTCCAACTAGTGCTTTACAAAACATTACAAATCTAAAATACCACTGTCTCTTACCCTAGAAATACAAGTATCACTTTTAATGCTGCTGTCATTTAAACTTTGACTTTCAGTTGAAGTTTTTTCAACAGACTCGCTCTTATCTCCCTGTATTTCATCATTAGACAACTGAGGTGATGCATCTTCACAGGAGTGATATAGTTCTTGACTGCTTTCTGTTTTACTGGAGGCATGGTACTTCACAGTGACAGTATCAGTGTCGTTGGACCGAGGCTGATCTACAGGTCCTGCTTGTGCTAGCTTACCAAGCTGGTCTGAAGCACTGCTTTTCATAGCTACTGACCTTTCCAGTTTACTTAAATCAGCAGTGACATGTGTTACCTCTGCAGTTGGTTTGCTCTCTGTGCCAAATTTAAAAGGTAAGCTTGGGCCTGTTGATCCATCTTTGCCATCAAGTGAAGGTTTGTGATTGGGTTTACCCTGTCCTAAATTATTATTTACCTGTTCCTGTGTGGAAGTGGCACTTCCATTAGACAGCTCTGAGTCCACAACTACAGTGGTCTGGTTAGAGAGCTCACATGAACCACTACGGTGACGAGATCGGACTGTCCTTGACCCAGTACTGTTGGCACTGTCACTTGAGTCTTTTGAACTGCTTCTCTGTCTTCCATTACTACTCTGGGTAAAAGAAGTCTGCAAAAATTTTGCACTCCCCCTTGATCCCTTGGAAGATCCTGACCCAGAGCGAACATTTTTTGCCTTAGCCAGGGCAGCACTTAGCCGCAAACTGTGAGCAAATGCTGCTGTCTGTTCTTGGTCAGGCTGGTTGCCACCCGACAGTGACCTTGACCTGACCTTGTCTTGACCTGACCTTGAAGGAGCTCTCATAAAAGCTGTCGGACTTGATCCACTCCTACCTCTACGTGGACTGTAAGAGCTGCTGCGTGTCAAACTCTGCACGGTTCTGTTGCTCATTCTGCCACGGGACCCACTAGAATCTGAGGAGGACTTACTAACTGTACTCACCCCTCTGAGTCTGGTAGAACTGCTACCGGACATGTCTTCAAGTGGGATCTCTTCACTATGATTCCCCAGATTCGATCCTACTGAAGAGTTCCTACTGTGCCTTCCACTGTTTCTGCCATTACCTCCACTTCTCTGAGCATCATTGCCTCCATTCACACTGTCATTGAGGTGATAAGCAAAAGCGGAGGGAGATGTAGCATCCACTGCCTCCTCAATGCCAGGAGAACCCTGAGGGGCCTCTGAGGAAGAAACAGTAGTGGGAATACTGATCTCTGGAGTACTTGATGGCATGGGCACGCTTGGACCACTGGAGGTAGCGCCCTCTACCTGCCGCTGTGCTCCACCCATTCTTCCTGCTCTCTGCTGCTGTGATGGAAGATGTGACCTTGATCTTCCTTGGCGTGCTGCATCAGAATGACCCCGGCTTACCCTGTGCACAGATCCTGGTGGTAAGATAATAAGAATGAAGTTCATCTATCGACAAATGGTGACAAATACAATGGAAGCATGCAGCAGCATCCAATTTCTTGCAGCTCAAGTCTTTATGTAAAGTAGACAGGAAGTTTCAATTGCCTTATGTTACATTTTGTGAAACATCTGCCTGAAGGATCTGAAAACCACAGGCAAACTAAGTGTATCTACTCAAGATAACCAGTGAAAGCTAAAGCAACAGTAGCAATATCAATTATGTCTTGTTTTACTATCCTACACAAAGGTGATGACAGTCATTCTACCTGGCCCAGGGATCCCTGTCAAAAGTCCAGCCTGGTTCTGGGCATCGGGGACCACTGCAGGCATCTCCAGCAGCTGAGCTATCATCTGCATCTTACGCTGACGTGCCTTTAGGCGCCCCTTGGTCAACCTCTGTTTGGCTGCCATGCAGCGAATGTGATCATCGAAGATGAACTTTGCCGTCAGAAGAGGAACAGACTTGGCATACCGCGGGGAGGAAGGTTTGTGGAGAGTAACATGAAGAGTTCTACTATCATCCTTGTCTCCACTCACTTCCACATCCTGTAGAAACAGCAGAGGACAAATACCATTATGGTTAAGAAAATTATAATTAGATGATATACCTGAAGGACAGGTTTGATTCACTAAAATAAATTCTTTATCACATACTAGGAATATCTAATATTGCTATTGCTGTTGTTAACCTCCTTACATCTTCAGAGACCATGGCTGATAACTGATGTTACAGATAATGGACAATGCTTGGATTTCAAAGTGCCATTTTGTTTTAACTTGGAATAAAATTTTCAAATAAAAATATATGAATTACTTACAATTTTTTTTTTGTAACTTTGCATGCATTACTTACAATTTTTTTCAAACTTTCAAATCTCATTTGAGCATAGTGAGGTGAATTTTTGACATAAGACCTCCATGAATAAACTATATGTTAATTTCACCTTATCCATGCATTAATATCACTGCATTCAACATTTTCCAAATTATCATCACATCCTGTCACAATATGTGTTATTTCAAATTTCAGAACTTCATTTTACAAGTTATAGATGTTTTAAACATTGTGAGTTTATGCCATAGTTATCAATTACAAATTATTTTCTCAGACTTGAATACAGTCTGTCTTTAAATAAGTCGATGGGAATGATGCTTTTAGCAGGGAGGAAATAACAATCAGCTACTCCTATACTAATTACTAGTTGAAATTACCATGTTCCTTTTATATCCTCAGCATGTATTGCACTGTGTGAGAAAAGGTTTGCATTATCAATGTTCTCTGTTTTGCAAGCGAGTTCCAGCTGTAAGGACCCCACATATCCAACCACTCCCCTTTCTTGAAGGTTTGGTTACATACCTGTAAGAACCCTACAAACTTGACCACTCCCCATCCTAGCCTCTTTGTGTCTGGCTCCACCAAGATCAACTGTAAGACATCCACCACAAGGAACCGACGCTCTCTTTTACTGGAGGAACAAATACAAAATCTTTTTATATACTTATATAAAATGGAAATTAAGAGAAAGTTTGTTTTTTTTTTTTGGTTCATTCTAGAAGAATTTTGGTTTTGGTTAACTGTATTATTTTCAGCTTAAAACATATACATGTATGAGAATATTTTGAAGAGGAAAATTTTTTAAAAAACTTTTTCCTTTGTGTAAGTCTCATATTATATCCACTTTTACTCAGCCACTAGCCTGAAGTAAGCATTCAGCTTGTGATTTTTAAATATTTTTTCAGGAGTGCTGATGTAATGAACAACAAAATCAGAAGCACAAACAACATCTACAATATTAATAAAAACTATTTTGTAAAGAAAGAAAAATCTGAGACTCTATATTAAGTGATAGGTTTAGGCTAGTATGCCAATTTAACAGGTGGAAAATCAACCTCTACAAAGACAGTGACCTAAAAATACACTATGCACTTTTGCCTTCAAGACAATACCCCCAGTATAGCTGGTGTACAGAGACAATTTTATTTAAATATAATTATATTAAATTATTTTACTATAATTTTAATATTTGTAGCACTGAAGATACAGTAATGACTACCACAGGTAATTTCACTAATAGCCTAAGAAACAGCAACTTTACGGTCTTTACAACTTCTTGGAAACAGTAAGGAGTACGGGTAAACTTTGATAAAATCATTGCTGATAACAGGTATCGGGGTTATCAAAACTTGTATACACAGAAATGGCACACCACACGAACCCTGAACAAATAGATATAGGAATATGTAAAGCAATTAAATCGGCCCCGGTCAATGGCTACAATGTTTTGATAGGGCTCAGAAAAAATTCAAAACAGTTTCATTTATATGTACAAAATTTCAAGACTTACATCTTAAAATCATGCAAGAGCTCGAGCCAAATATTCAAGCTTACCATGCAAGTCAAGCAATCATGCAAGTCTTCACGCTACCAAACACCTGAATCTGATAAAACCTGTATTCCAAGAAAACCACCAGCTATCTATAGGTCAGTGACTAGTCATTTATTAGACAGTTCAGATGTACTGGGCATGGTGAACAAAGGAGCACATAATTGGGAAATCCCTTGTAGCTACAGCAATCAGAGGCCAGATAGCACACAAACCTACACAGGTAGTCTCAGGTTAATACCAAGCATGCAGCCGTTTTTTGGCCAACGATCAACTTTTTAAATGTTCAATAATGATGACATTGCTCAACAAATGTATGCAAATCTTACCATCCCCTGCTGGGTCAATGCAATAAATATACATCTTAGACTTTACATGTCACCATGGTCAGTTCACCTTGACACATTTAGACACATTCACAGAGTAGTAAGTGGCAGTTGTGATGGATATTCACACATTTTAACAGCATTTCATCTTAGCATCATGTTTTAGACAGCTAATTTTTTTTTCTGTATTGAACTCCACTGACTACTTCCCTATGAGCCACATATTTTACCTGCTAGAATCTGTACTACCATGGTTTGGCATTAAAAAATTCATTGAATAATAATGGATCACTTTTTGAAAAGTTCAATTTGGAGCTGATCCTAGTAGGATAAAAGTATCTCATAAAATACCAAGAAATTGCCCTAATACATCACAGATTCATTCCCTCTAATCAAATAGTCATGACCCATGCCATTTTTCTCCTTAACAGCTATTACAAATCCTATTTTTCTAAACAAGTAAATTCTTGGAATTCAATAAGTTTCTTTTTCCTGTTGGTGCAGTGTTTAATACGTCAAAATCATAAAAATGCAAATCCAACACTTGTATAATGGCAGCATTTGTGCAAAAAAAAAAAAAAAAAAAGGAATCTGAGAGTCCTTCTCAAGAGAAATGATAGTTTGATTGTTTATTATTATCATTATTATTTTATTTCTATTTTTTGTGTGTGTGTGTGTGTGTGTGTGTAAATAACAGCTTAAAGTCAATGCTTGTATAATATGTATATTTTAGTCTGAATAGGATGCCTGGAACTCTAATTATGAAACTAAGAATAAGGTGTGTATAGTATGTGCCACAGACTTTTTAGCTTACTGGCCATTCGGAATACCACTTTCTTAAAATGTTCTGGTCTGAATAAAAATTTCACTAAGACTGGACATCTTCTCCCCATTGCATTTTAATATTTAAATATTAGTAAAACCTTAAGACCTTAATTTTGTCAAACTTTTTGAAATTATGTAACAGTTAAATTTCAGAAAAATTAAATCAAATCCAAAGCTGTTTTGAAAACACACACACACACACACATACACACACACACACAAAGGCTATGTCTAGCCAATAAATTCACACACTGAGGAAAACATACTTGTCCAAACAAAATTTTACTGGCTGCAGGTTTAGACACCAGTGACAAATGTTGCATATATATATGCATGGATTGAGGTAAAACCATACAAACAAAAGTGATGAGCATTTTGACTGTATATTGACTATGTTACCTGGAAGGCACTTTCAATAAAAAGACAAACACATGATCAAAGTACTACTCACTTGTCTCTTGCTATCACTGTACAACCAATCAGGTCACTATTGTCTGGAAAGTGAATAAAAAATTCAATTCATAAAAATTTCTGCTTTAATATTTCAAATACTTGTAAACAGTATTCAATTACTTTTATTGCCAATATTGTTCATTCTTTTTTAACAATATTGTTAAATAAAGAAATTGCATTTACGAAATTTATAATCATCTTAATCAATATTTTTTATCCATTGTCACTGTCCCCATGCCATCTGAATTTCATAAGAATAACCATATACATTTGAGCATTTTGAATAACAGGCATTTTTATATTTCTCATACTAAATTCTTCACAGGTTCTTGAGGTACTGATACGTATTTAACTGATTGTATAAGCCTTGCTGAAAAAATACCAACATTTATAAATTTAAAGATGGTAAGTTTCTCAAAACTGAACATGATTTAAGAGTTTAATATGCTGCTCTTTTTTACAAGCACTTATCATTATATCAACATGTCTCCCAATCTGAAGCTGAATAAAATTCCTGGAAAAACTCTTACTCAATGCACTTTTCCTTTAAACAGCTAGATATAAATGCCAACCATTACAAAAGATAGCTGTTATAAAAGCTGCAAACACTTCTAGCAAGGCTAAAGAAGCTGTGCGCATTCAGAAGTGCATGCTTTAATCACATGAAGATAGTAAGCCTGTCTTGATGAAACATCATGATCAAAATGTAACTATCCTAAATTACACTTTATGAGACCAAAGCTTGCAGATTCAATTTACAGACCACAGCTTTTTCAGAACAAAATGGGACTGATATCAAATGGAAATCTTTCTGAACATTCTGAAACATTTAACATGTCACATCTCACCATGAAATTAAATGTAAATTGAATACTTCTCATAACCAAATTCATTTTCCTTCATATTGTTAACAGCAGTGCTATTATCACTTTATGCCTATCCTTACAAGCACCCCCTTTCCCTTACCATAATGTGCTTTATGGTAATCTTTCCTTCATAAAAAATATCACCCAATTGCTGCCTTCGCAAATAAAACTCAATGTGTTTTATTACAATTTGTTAATGTCAAATAAAAATATTTCCTTGTTTCCTTTTGTAGGTCTCATAGATACTTACAGGGGAATATGGAAATATTTAACAAGCACAGTGCTATTTCACACTGATTTTAACATGAAAAATCACAATAAGGAGAAAAAGAAGCAAATAACATCACTCCAAAGGTAATAAGTGGTTTAACTGTTTTTTGTTTTTTTTTTTTTTTTTACTTCCTGGTATACCCATATCTTTTTTATAATAGCTCATTTTTTTTCTGTAGATTAGCCAGAACTCTCATCTGTAATCTTAATGGTCTAAATTTATTGTTGTAAGTTTTGTGATACATTTTAAAAGAGTAAAATCTGTACTTGTACTAAAATTGACTTAATATACACATGCATTGTTCTCTGGGTGACAGAGTAGGCCTAAAGATTTTCAGACTTTTCTTGAAATCTTTCAGAAAAAAAAAATCTGGAAAATTTCCTTAAAACTATTAAAAATGTTTTCTCCAATCATAACTCCATAAAGTTGTAAAAAATAGTTATATATAAATATGTTTTAGGACCACAATCTTTTAACTTTTTCATTATGAGAAAAAATTATTTCAGAATGCATAAAATTTGTTACAAGTCTTAAAGGAATTAGACCATTCTACCAGAAACACCAAACAGTTTCAGGTGCCAAAAATTCCATGAACCGTTTTTTCAAGTGGAAGTTGTTAAAATTCCTAAAAATTTCATTGGTTAATTTAAAATCAAACATGGCTAGTCTTGTTAATTAGAATAATCCTCCAATTCAGGTGGCTGATATTTTATTTCCTAAAAGATATTTTAAGTCATATTTATCACTAGCAAGACTGTTGTTAATTATATTCACAGAACAGTTGCTGCATTTTTTTCCAAGAAATTAATTTTCAGCATCCTAAAGTGTTAAACAAGGTTAGTGTTGTCATTGATGTTGTGTAGAAAAATGCAAAGATTTTTACACAAGTCATTTTTTTGGAAATTTTTAGATATTACCAAACTGTTGTCAGCTACAATTTTTGTGTACCCAGCATAATACATGAACACACTGAACTAGCCATGTGCTCACACCTGTTAACTGGAAAGTCACTCTTGGTCAGCTAATGTATGCCTGTATGGCCTACATTTGGAACACTTTCTCCCACACTGCATGACAAAAGTAGGGGACAAAGGCCTCTGACCACATCTACAACTGTCACTAATATTTGCTCCCTTTTTTGAGCTTTGTTTCTTACATCTACTGATCATGATTCAATGACAACTGTCAATATACAATCTATATTTACTATGCACCATCATAATACTTCTATCGTCATAATGTAAAAATCTAATGGTGTAAGTTTGTTTTTAGGTGAAAAGATGTTTATGGCGTGTTTTCTGTGAAAACCCAGAATGTTCCTCCTAGAACATAGAACATAGCCCTGGTTAGAGAAAATGACTAAAATAAAAAATCTGAGTCATGGCTCTTCAGTAATAGTCAAACTCACTGAATTATCTTCTTCACATTGGTGTCAAAGCTAAGGAACTTACAAAATTGCACCAATGTTAAGAGTTTTGTAGAAATAAAGAACCAAATCTTCAACATATTTTATATAAAAACCTATTTTAAATTTAAGTCCATTTAATTAGGGAAAAGCTAATTGTGTCCCCAGAAAACAATATGGCAATCAGAGTATAAAGCTAGCTTTCCAGTTGGTTTCAGTGGCAAATTCAATTATTTCCAAAAAAAAAAAAAAAAAATTGAAAGCAATATGGAACCATATGTCCTTAAATTTCCTTCGTACAAAGTAACCACAATGGACACCCAACACCATTTCCTCTAAAATACTTCTACTTCCTATTTGCCTCATAAACACTAACCAAGTTCTTAAAATGCCTTTTCAGGTTTCCACTGGAACAAATCCAAGATAGATATTTGCCACTACCTCTCAAGATGAATAACTTGAATAGGACAGGGTAGCAAATAAAACAGTGTCTATCACAAGAGACATGGTCCATCCTGCTCATAACCTTTTAAATAAGATTTTGTTACCAAGCATCTAAAGCCTTTTATTGTCTAGGGTGCCTTAAAAACATGAATGAAATGGCATGGCTGAATTTTTAATTTGGCTTTTTAAGTCACCAGAAAATTTATGAGCCCAGATTAGTCAGACTTACTGAGGTCCAAAACATCGCCTAGCTTAACACACTCTTCTTGCTGTGTCAGGGGTAACTGTTGTTCCCTCTCCTGGCGCAGAGTAAATGAAAGATCTCGTAGTAAAAAATACACACGTATTGCCTGAAATAAAATAAAAATAGCAAATTACAATTATATAAGACAGCTTTACAAGGTATAAGTGAAGTATTTACTCGGTCAAACTATTTTTAATATAGTTTCAGTATAAATACATAACTGAATCTTAAATACACATTAATCTACTTAAGAGGAAGACACTAAACATATTCGCAGGAAACAATATTGTAGTCAGTGGACAAACCCAGGAGCCATGTCATTTGTTGGTTACACTAATTTATATATTATTGAAAAAAAGTTAAGTTTTATCATTGTAGTTACATCCATCAGGAAAAATATATGCACCAACTGTAAATATTACTTCAAGCCACCCACCCTTCTAGCCTTCTCCACCTCTCCACAAGGTAGCCTCTTGTTGAAGCCTATCCCAGTCAAGGGGGTTCCAGTTGGTGGAAGCAGGATGGAAGCATCCATTGTCAGGTATTCCACATTGAGTGGACGGATCTGAATGATATCACGACAATGCAAGTTTCAGCTAATCATTCTTTTTTTTTTAACCTATTAGGAAGGTACCATCTTTTTATTTAAAAACTTATCATATAAAAACAACAAAAATAAAAAAAGTTCAGAAATCTTGAACTATGTCATACCAAGATTATATTTTTTTTCTGCAGATGACTAATGTAGTTATCCATATTCAGATAGATTAGATACAATATTCCCCACTTCTTTATTTGACTATTTATAAAAGTGTTTTGGATAACAACAAGTTCAACAAAGAAATATATGACAGCAGTTCAAAAACTCTTTAATATCATTAACCATTTCTGGTTTCCTTTAAATTGCCTTTATATACTAATAAAACTTTTTTTGTGAAAAAAAAATATAGCCATTTTATCAAATTGACTAACATAAGTAAATTTTCTCACCTGTTTGTCCCTATATTCATCCTCAAACATGTCTAAAAATATTTCTTCACTCTAAATGTACAAAAATATCTGTATTAACTGTGGTCAAACCTTACTACTTGTAAGCATAGTATAGGTGGACAAATCTGGTACAAAGAGAGCAACATACTTCAACCGTTAACCAGCCTTCAAAATTTCTTTTTATCAAAGGCATTCTCAAACATGCTTTCAATAGCCTTTATTCACCAAAATATGAAATGTAAGAATCAATACACTCAATACTCTTTTTTTATCAGAAATTAGGCATTAATTACAGTTTTAAAATGTCAACTTCTAAGAAAACCTTGAAGTTAGGCATTAAATACAGTTTTAAGAAATCAACTTCTAAGAAAACCTTGAAGAAGTTCCTGAGCAGCAGCATGCTCTCTTCCTTGGAGCCCTCAATTATGGCCAGATGTCTGTCTTGGAGGTAGCTGGTGTCTGGGGTGCACACCAACTGCTGCAGTACCAGTAAACACATCTCCAAGGTGGCAAGACGCACTTTACTTCCTGTTAAAAAATACAAAAGAATGGAATACTTATTTAATGATGCAGCTACTACACAACACCACATCCTGAAGAACAAAACATGAGCTTTCTTAAAATGTAGTTTCATAAAAGCAAAATAAGCACTTAGCTTCTTCAAAGCTACGAATTACTTCCTTAACAACAGCACTAGCAAGAGTTTCCTATGAGTCTGGTTGTGCCAAACTTTTTTCAACCACAATATAAATACCCCTCTTCCTGAAACTTGGCTGTGTCCAGATTTAAAAAATACCCAGTCTCATTTCCATTCATACAGCTTACACTCTTTGAATAACTTTTAGAACTATTGGCAGGTTATGCTCAATTCTCAGCAACAGTGCAGATATGCACAGTATCACAAGAGCAATATTCTTTCATACTGATGACAATTTAACCACTGACTTCATTATTACCATTACTATTCAGAGAAAAATTTCATCAGCTGTATTAGAGTAAAATTATTTCTTTTCTTTAATCAAAAGCTTAACAATGAAATAGTTTACCTCCAATATTTTGATGTGTAACTGAGGCCATATTCCTGGGTAGCCTCATTCCCTGATGAAGATGCTCTGTTAGACATTGAATTATTGGAGGTAAGCTATTTCAGTGAATTGTTGAATTAATTGTTTCACAGACAATGCTTTTATACCATCAAATTTTCAGCTCTACTCAAGAGCCTTCCTCAGGACAAACTGGTCATGCGCCGATGATCTAGCGCTGAGATGTATTCAATAACCAGTTATCCTATAAATGTCCCCTACGGCCCCCCAGGCCCAAGAGGTCATCATAGATGTGGGCCAGCTGGTACGTATACATTAGGGGACACTCATAAGATAACTGACCATTGAATATATCTCAGCGCTAGATCATCAGAGCATGACCAGTTTGTCCTAAGGAAAGCCCTTGAGTAGAGCAGAACATTTGATGGTATAAAAGTATAGTCTATGAAACTATTATTTCAACAATTCATGTGTATATACCAGACTAATGAAGTATTTTAAGAAACTATTTCAATATTAAGCTGTTGAAGAAAAGAAATAATTTTATTCTAATACAGCTGATAAAATTCTTCTCTAATCAGTAATGGTAATAATGAAGTCTGTGGTTAAATTACATTATTCTTTCACTTTTATATTACTTTTCAGGGCTCAGACAATTCAACTTTTGATATATATTATTATTTACTTTTCTTTCTAGGAATTTCTAAATAACACTTTTGTAGACATTACTTTTAAGTAATACAAACTTATTAGTAAAGTAAAAATACTGTGCATTTTTTTTTTTTTGGGGGGGGGGAAGCATAATTTCATTATCATATTTGGGTGAAATGATTAAAATTTAATATATCTTCATACTTGACCATATGGAATGATGCTTGCAAGGACTCTAGCAATTTCTAAATAACACTTGTGTAGACATTACTTTTAAGTAATAAAAAACTTCAAGTAAAAATACTGTGCATTTTTTTCCCTTTTTTAGGTGTGGGTGGGGCATCATTTCATTATCACATTCGGGCGAAATGAATAAATATATCGTGACCTTATGGAATCATGCTTGCAAGGACTCACCGTATTGCACACTCTGATTGATAATTTTTAACAGCCTCTCCACCACAATGATGTTATAATGATCTTTCCTCTGAAATGACCAAATAAACAATGAAAATAAAAGATCAAGAAAGGTTGTTAAATATCATTTGCTGTAAAAAGACATCAAAGACAAAGTAAACCAAAGACATGGATCTCTTTCATAATTAAGAAAATATGTTTCCATGGGAACTGCATAAAGAAAGAACTGAAGTGATAATCTATGGCAAAGAGCCACAGCAACAGCAGGAGACCAATAAAGTTATGAAATGAAACAAGATGACAGGTTAGATTTCTTAGAAAACATTTCTAAACCAAAATCACTTTTCTTGGAAAGCAACCTTTCAAATTGCAATGTCATTATGAAGCATTCAGCAATAAAAAATGTCATGATAATATGTTTCTCAGAATGTTCATTTGATCCTGTTGAAAACAAAACCCATTATGTGACATGGCATGCAACTTACCGCTGATCTGTTTGTTGGCATAAGCACCGAATCTAAAAGATCTTGATTAATTCCTAGGGGAAAAAAAACAAACTTACTTTAGCAATTTATAGGCTTAAACTAAGGTAAAATGATATCTCACATTCACCATGTTCATATTTTCAAGAATTCCATATTTGTGAAGAAAAAATTGCATGACAATGATATTTTTACAAATGGGAATAACTAGCAAATAAGAGAGAAAGAGAGAGAGATTTCAATAATTCCAAACAATTATAATCTTGCTTTGAATTACATTCAAAGAAAAGCAGCAATAATGACATCCTACATTTATCAAACCCGATACACAACAAACAGAAAACCTTTATGTCATCACTGCCAGATATTCTCTACTTAGAGAGTGATCACTGAAAAAGCACGTACCAATCAACAGCCATGCATTCAGACAAAAATTTGCAACATTTTTTTCCTTGGACATCATTCAGAGGAAGATGTCTGTAAAACTCGTATGTATTTCCAACACATCTAATAACCCCTCAAACCAATGCATAAGATGAAAGACATGAATAATGTCACTGTCATGTTATAAAATATATACACTTTCAGTTAGTAAAAAATATGGTTTAAAAATATTGTGACACAAATATTATCATACACAAATAAACACACAATTTGAAAATAAAAGGGGGAAAATGATTAGGAAATAAAAGAGTAATTTATAAGACAAATGATAATGAAACAAACCACTCAAAATTTGATATGGATCATTAAGTAAATTGTTGATTTTTTTCACCAGTTAACTTTGTTGTTGCTGCACAATTGAAAATATCTACATTATAAGTCCTAATGCCTGACAATGAGTTTGAAAAATATCACTAAGACTCCAAAAGATCAATCTTAAAAATAAACCGTCACATAAGCTAACATGTGACTGACTAATATAAGGCAAATTTCTAAAATACATATAAATTTTGGGGCTTGAACAAAGGTGTCATTTTTACCTATTGTAGTACCTGAAAGCATTTTGCAACTACGCTCCCTAACTGCTGCAGACAAAATTGCCAAAATGAGTGGAATTCTTGACAAAGGTGTGAAGAACAATTTGGTGCCACCTTTTTAGATAACATCTTTTAAACTGATGTCTAGCAGTCTTGTTTATAAAGGGTCACTGAGAATTAATATAGCTTACAAGTTATTAGTGATAAAACCTTAACGGAGTGCTTTTAAGAAAATCTGTCCCACCACCCTGTAGTACTCATGCACAGCTATCATTTGCCACTGGAATTTTTTTGATATCAGTCCAGGTAGTAGAAAAAATAATGAATCCTAAATTTCACCCCCAAACCACTGATATGATATCATCAGCAAAATTTTCTTATTTATTATTTTTTGAAGACAAATAATGTCCATGAGTATGATAATACTGTAACAACTACTTTTATATTAAGTCATTTTTTTAAATTTTTTGTTTTTATTTCTTTTTTATCCTGAGCTAACAGGATATATAACCTTAGTATCTTAATACTTTTTTCTCAAGTTAATTCCTCTTTTCAAGAAACCTGTGCATTCAAAATCTTTTGAAAAGGTTCAGGATGTCTTTATCATCTTAAGGATAGACTGAGTAAATATTTAGAAGGTAGTGTAAGTCTTCAGTTGCACTTCTTTAACTTCACTGATATTTTTTAGGTGATAATGGCAAAGTAAAAAAAAAAAAAAAATCTGGGCCTCTGAATCAAACAAAATGCAAAGGTTTGACGCTTCTTACAGTGGTGAAGACAAAAGTTCTATAATCTCAAATTCCAAAAATGCAGAAGACCTGTAAGTATATTCAGAGGCTTAAGGGCATTTTTATTGATTGTCAAGTGCCAAATATTACTAATGGAAAAGCCAAAATCATAACTTTTGAACTTTGAAGGTCATCACTTGAGAGAGTGTGGCAGAACATTCAATAGAATTTAACAAGTCATGATCACAGCCCTGTGGGGTAGGACCTTGTTGAAAATGATCAATGGTCACTTAAATGTCAGTGTCATTTATCTGTACCTACAACATAAAGTTTATAGATATATTTTGTTGGTCTATCTGATATAAAAATAGGGATTTTCTGGATATGAGATGTCCCACCAACTTATCATATTAATTATATATAAATAATAATAATAATATACCATGCAAATCTGTATAAGAAAAGTAGATGCTATTCACTAATAAATAGGGGACACATCTAGTATCGAAACACAAAATACAGCATCTTTCTTGCTGAACACTGAACATAAACACAGTGCACACTAACTAAAAATTCTACTTGAATTGCAACCCAATACTTGAAGTAAGCTACACGAAAAAATCAATGAAAAAAGAATTGGCAAAATAAGATGATGGAAAATAAACACATATTATATTTTGTAGAGCTAGAAAAATATACAGTGCACAAATATTAATGACAATGATATCCAAGGTACTAATGAAACATTAGCCCATTTGAATGTATCTAGCATTAAGACTGAGACCTTGAAAACGATATATACAACATTTTCTATGTGAGAATTAATACATTTCTGGTCATAAAATGCCTACCCAGTAGTGCTGGAATGGTCCGCAAGATGTAAGAAATAATTTTAAAAAATCATTAAGAACTCTGTCAGAAAAACATTAATTTTCAAGTAAAAAATATCCTATTTACATTTAAATGAAGTATATTTCAATAAGTTACCCACCAGCTTATTTTGCAACCTGTAAATTTCATAACTAACTATCCACTTTCAAAACAGGGAAAAAAAGTAATTCATCACAAAAGATGTTGAAAACACTTTTTTTAAGTCAACTTATTCCAGAACACAAGAAAGACCAGAATCGGCAAAAATATATTATTCATTTAAAACAGTATCGAAACTCATTTGAAACTACAGAAACTTTCTTCACAAAAAGAAAAAAAAAGTGTCAGTCTGATAGTGTTTAAAAAGTTCTATTAATTAAATATACATGTATATTTAAACTTAAACCGAAAACAATGAACACTGTAACCAACTTGAACCAATGATACCACAGTGTTGGCCTGGTATATTTAATAAGAACACTCTATTTAAAGGTACAATAACCACTATCTTGCAACCACAGAAACTTCACAAGTGCACATACCTGTGTTGCTGCCGAGGGCATACAGCAGACAAAGCGCAAATAAAGCTTCGTAGTCATTCTCTCTGCACTCCAGAGCATTCAATATGGCTTCCAAATATGGTCTGAAACATTGAAGGAGGAATGTTTTACCTACTACGCAGCTTAACAGCCTTCCAAATCATTATTTAATTACATTTTGCTTTCTTTTTCAAAAAACATTTTACTTATTCAGACTACACATCATGTTTTAATTTTTCTATTCTTCTGTTGTACCATATGTTGATAAGATTAGCACAAAACAGATTGGTGAAATATAATAATAATAATTAATTTAGAAAAGGTTGCATTTTATGTCAGTGCAAGATAACTGTAACATGCATTCAAGGCAACAGCTGTGTTTGCTTGCTCCTTAGTTTTCTGGTACTGTGATACTTGCCAGGATTTTGTGTTTACTTTGCTCTGACCTTGCGATCAGGGGGTAGTTTTAGCTTTACCTTGTCTTAACTTTTAGACCACAATTTAGCCTATTTCAGTTCAAAATAAACCTAAGGTTGTTCTAAAGTAAATATAACACAACATCCTGCTTATTATAAAACAGGCAAATATTTCCAATCAACTGGACTACACCTGATTTCCCTGGGGTCAAAGTAGACTTAAAGTTTAGACCCATGTTTTCTGAAACAAGACTAAGCAGGTCTTAGTAGTTATCTTGGCCTTACCTCACAGTCATCATTTCTGTTATGGCATACTGACCTACTGGTACATCACAAATTATTATCTATTGCTTGGAGTAAGAGCTATCAGTAGTGTAATTACCTGTTAGCAAGATTGAAGTCAGCCTGCCTCTGCTCTACACTTCCCCAAAGTGGACCAATGGAAGAGCCCAGCAGTTTCTCCTCATCTGTGGAGTTTTGGTTAGGACTAGTGTCGTCTGCAGTGCTCTCTGTCTGGTCTACAGCTGCACTGACAGCTGGACTGGATGTCTCATCTAATAATAATAATAAGAAGTAGAAAAAGAAGAAAAATTTAGGAATTGTATGCAAAAGGTCCTGTACAGCTGTTGTTCAAATGACAAGACTAACTTCACAAGAATGTTTCTGAGATTTGAAACACGAAAATATCACCAACAAGAACCAAGAATCTTCTAGTTAAAAATGTTTAAAAAATTGCTTGATTTTTACTTTAATGAAACTTTTATTGGGTGAAATTACTGAAATAATTAAGCATGTTACATGTCTAAATGTACTTTAGTCTACAAGTTAATAAGGAATACTAGAGTTTATGTAGCATATAAAGTGAGCATAGATTCCCTGTAATGCATATAAACCGCATCTACTAATTTCTTAAATAACTAAAATAAAGTCGACATGCAAAAGGATAAGGCAAAATCACTTGATCAGCCAAAAAAATAGCTTAAAAACCACACCTCCATCAGATTTCTGATTGCAAATTTCACCATATAAGTCTGCCAAATGACAGAGTTAAGTATGAGGTACAGCTGCTGCATGCGCAATGGCATTATTTTCTAAATAAGCATTGGCAGAAACAAGTAGGGATTAGATATAGCGCAGAAAGAAAGCAGAAAATATCTGTTCAAGCATTGGTTTTCGGGAAGTATAAGACAATATTCTTTGGTTTTTCTTTAATTAAACTTAATGACGGTGTATGATCTGGTTTACTGGCAAAGATTTGACATCATATATGACTTTATCAAAAATTCAGTGAACATCCACTGTACATTAAATCAAGCAGGCAAACAAAAAGAAATATTAATGCGACAAATAACACAAAAGCTTGTTGGTTCTAGGGGCAAATCCACTGCATGAGTCGAAGCTGTAAACACATTTTCCTCATCATGTTACATTTGCAAAATTAATTTACCAAAATGGACAGTGAGTGTCTCAGACAACGGGTAAAAAAAAATCACTTTCTAAACTAACAAAAGTTCATAAACCTACCACTCTCTGGGGAGGAGGTAGTGGCTGCAGCATCCCTGTCAGTATAGAATGTGGAGTTGCCTGTCCTGTTCCCACTGTCCTCAGCGCCATCTGCAGGCCCTGGAGAGCCATTCATAGCACGGTTGTTGTCTAGCACCTGGGCAAGTGATTCTGTAGGAGGGATAAATCCTCGGCGGGCGACCTGCAGGGGTAACAAATGCAATCACTGATGGATATACCATGTATCAAGTGTGGATTACTCAAAGTGCTTTGGAAAGTTAACTTTATTTTTAAGTGCAGCTGTAAGAAAAACGAACCTGTCAAGTATTGGGTAAATATTGTTCAGTTAGGCTAATGTTATTATTCAACTTACAGATAATACAAATATGAACTAACTGATCCATAGTCAACATAAGGCAAATGATTCAACATCAACAGATATCACCTCTCAGATCAATGTTAAACTATCAGTTTGACTGGTGGTTTAAATCATTCAATGTCCATTCTAAGTTAGGTCTGATATGAACAGCTCTTTACTGTTAACTAACCATCTCAGCAGAGTCCTGTGCCTCAGACTGTGGGATGAGAATAGAACAGTCTGCATTGAAGATTATATCTGCTAGTTGTCTCACCAGGGGCGAGTGCTGGAGGATCAGAAATACCTGAAGCAAAATTGGCAAGTGCTTAATAAATTACCAAATCTTTAAAATAAAGGTCAAATGTCATGTGCATCTTCTAGATGGTCAGAATCTTTGCGAAAAAGGCTTAATACGCAGAAACCATCAAAATGTATAATAACACACCAAAGTGGAACTTTCATATTCTGAACCTTCCTAAATTCCTATAATGGCCCCATATAGCACCACACTTATTCAAATTGACTTAAAAACCAGGAAGCAAACAATTTTGATGTAATTTAACATGAAACACTGTATAACCCTGGGCTTACATGTTGGCCTATGGGTTCCAGAAAACTGCAGTTCCTTAAGTACATCTAAAACAGTTTAAGTTAATCAGATGATGGTTATAACTAGGAACTAACTTGGATAAATATGTATTCCTAATATATCACCCCATTCTCATAGATTAGATCGACCTACATTGGATCGACCTAGCTCCCTGGGGGTTCACGCTAAATAGCTGTCAGCCGGGCGGACACGAAAGTTAATTACCCCTTAAAGCTTGTAGTAGGCGGGGACGGACACTTAAGGGGGATTATCTGACAGTAATCTAGTGAGACTCCCCGCGGTGATAGATCGATCTAAAAGTTGTGAGAACAGAGCCTATGACTGGGACACATGCACTCATCATTAGAAAATCAGAAAACTAACCTGAGATAACAAAAACAAAGATACTACAGAGCTCACATGTGGACGTTCATCCTGAAATCAGAAACAGCAGATTTATAATATGGACCTATTTCTCCACAAACTTTAAGCTAAAAAAAACTGTAAGTGTCTCTGCTCACAAATACAAAGAGATGGCATTAAGCCAGTTGTTAGAGTGCCTGCATCTGGAGCAGAATGACGTTGGTTGGACCTCGTCCAGGGGCATAGCAGTCCTTTATAAACGGCACCTGCTATCTCCTTGTCACTCAGCACTTATTATTATGGTTGAAGCAAACCACAACGACACATATTGTAGTGAAGTTTCAATAACCAGACTTAACTAAATTTTTTAAAGTAATAACATTCAAATTATGTTGCATAAAGAAACCAAAATGTACAAAAAAGATACATCATTTACATAAACATATCTCATATGTTCTTTTTTTACTTACAGTTACATTGCTATATCTCCTTCTCTTTGTTAAAGAATACACATAGAGTGGCAGTAGAAGTCTATTGAGCAAGTGGTCAGTCAGAACAGCATTCAAGGAGTCTATATTCAGGCAGAGAATGTCATTCAGATAGTGTAGGTGGTCCAGATGTTCAGCAACCAGGTCTGCTAGACGGTCTCTGCTCTGGTGACTAAGGCAAAGAGGACACAAAGTGTTTGTTATTATCATATAAATTAATGTATTCAGTGAATGTAGCACTGATAAACTTTTCTCTAGAATACAGCTAATCCTGATTTTATTAATGCTTAAATCATCTTATTCTTCACTATAATATGAGTTGTGTCCGTGTGTGTTCAGTACTACAACTTCACTGACAATCATCATTTACAATCATATGTATTCAAACCAACACAAAAATGTTCCAGAGTGATTAATGAGATTTACACAAACACAGTCCAAACATATTTCTTTCACTGCTTCATAACTATAATAGTTTAAGTGTTCTGTACTGTTTCAGTGTTTTAAACTTTATAACAAAAAAATTCAATACTTAAATTCATTTACATTCAATTAAAAAAAAATATATATATATATATATATATATATATATATATATATATATATATATATATATATATATATATATATATATATTATACCAATAAAACATATACAGCAAGTTTAAACAAGAGTCCCACTTACTCAGCGTCATTTCTAACGCAGTTATTGAGCTCTATTATGTGGTTCCCAATGAACCAGACAAGGTTGGAGAAGTATGGAGCTGCAGTCTTGTCACGGATGTATCGCAACATTGACTTGTCTTCCACTGAAAGAAACAGCTATAATAATTGGTAGGGAAGCAAACAACTTGCTAACTGGTTTGATTCCAGTACCATGCTGCCATGATAATAATAAGCTCAAATACTAAGTGATATCACGAATGCTTATGTTAACTTTTTATTCATTTATCATCATTTCTGTGCAAGTACATTTTTACAATGACTTTTACCTAACTGTATGTTCTATACATATAGCACTAAAACTACTATAACAAATTAAAATTAGGTTTGTGTTAAAGTTTGTATTCAGACAAAACTATAATCAAGGTATATAATTAATTACTTGGTGGATGGTTTAAAATATTCTTATTGTACCAAACTGAGTATAAGTCTTCATAAGTGAAATCTTTTCTTGAACTCACCTTTATACACATTTAGTGTAATAGTGCGAACTGCTATTCTCACCATACTTTCTGAATGGTTGAAAAATTTGATAGCTTCTGTGTAAAGGGGAAAGTCGTTTGTGTGCTAAAAGTAGAAAAATGTACGAATGTTTTTTTCAGGTTAAACTCTTAATACATAAGGGTGAAGTAATAAGAACAATATAAGATTTCTATATAATGTGTACTAGGTGCCATGTTTTTTGCATTTAAAGGACTTCATGGTCAAATGATGATTTTGATTGCATTTTAACCTGTATTTGACCTATCTGTTATAAAAGTGTCTTACCTCATTATAAAAGAAGTGGATTGTATGCTTGTTTAATTTCAAAGAAAGTGTTTTCAGAAATGAAATGTAATAAGCCATAACCTGCAAGAGAAATGAAAGTGTGGTAAATCTTGCACATCCTGAAATAACTGAATGTGTGAAAAGGAGAAAACACAACTGTTGGACAAGAATTAATATGATAATTTGATAAAGGACTTCACAATTAATTTATTTCCATTAATTCCTATGTAATAAAACTAATAATGTAATATATGTAATAATACCAATAAGAATATATAAAATGAGAAAATGATTCCTATATTTTTTCCCAGTTGATAATCTCAATAGATAGATGTGGCATATTCTAGCTATCTGTGACAGGAAAAACATTTAGAACTCACCTCTTCATCAGAGAAATCAAATTTGTGCACTATAATTGTGTTGATGTGATTATTAGAAAGCAGGTAATCTGAAATATAATAATAATAATTATAATAATAACAAACTAGTTTCAGTAAGAATTAATAACAAATTAATAATAATAATAATAATAATAATAATAATAATAATAATAATAATAATAATTAACATTAGTAAGAATATTTTTCTTGCACTTTTTCATTTTGCACAGCAGTGTATATTGAATTAACCCAAAACAAAACAACTGCCTATAATTACAAAACCCTTTAACTGCTGTTTGTCCTTTAGGTTGTGCTAGTACTCAAATCACAAAAAGGATTACAGAACAAAAACAAAATATTCATTTTATGAAACACTATGACATTATGAATTTCACACTTACACAATGATGTTTCATTGCTGATGTTTTCAAATAAAATGTTAAGTGTCTGTAGCAGCTGGACACACAAATACCGCCCTCCTTTCTGGCGCATGTATCTTTGAAAGAATGACAGCATGTTCTTCTCTAAGAAAAAACTAACAAAAGAAAAATATGGTTACATGTTAGATTTCAACTAAAGCTTTTGGTGCCCTTCATGATAAGATAGCAAGATGTTCTGAAATGGAGGAAATGGGTTCAAATATTTGTTCTACATAATATTTCATGCAGTACAAAACTTTCTCTTTTTGTGATTATGAAGTTATTTTTTCTTGCTGTTGTTCATTATCATAACAAGAATTCACTTCTTTTTCGCATGATTTTAAAATCGATTTGTGGTAAATCCACAATAATTTTAAAATTAAATGATTTTAAAATTGATCCTGGTATGTACCTGTTCTGTGTTCCAGAAGACTATAGCTAACTGACCTGACAATTAAGTTGAATAAGAGGAAACCTGTTTCATATTTGATCTGAATTATAGGCTTCTCAACAACTGGCCTAAATACTACCTGTTTCATATTTTACTAATGTGCATATATTGTTAATTACCTTGGTTGCTTGATATAATGTATAAAGGATCTGTCTAATTAACGTCCACAAATGACCACAAGCGTCCTCAAATGTCCACAAGCGTTCTCAAATGTCCACAAGCATAAAATGGTTGGGAAATCAGTTCATTTCTATACATATATTTGAAATAAAAAGGTATTGCAAGTTGGAAAACAGCACATAGTGTTCTAATATGTATGCCTACGGAACAACAACAGAGAGAATGTGGTTGTGTCCACAAGTGACGACAAGCGTTCACATGCGCTGACGATCATCCACAAGAATAAATAGTTGAAAGATCAACAACTAAACAGATATTTATCATACAATGTATTTTGTAAGTATTTTATGATAACACTTGCTATTATTCACACTTTTTGACTGTCATAACAATGCCATACACCATATGCAAGACACACTCTATCAGGTCTACTAACTGATTTCCTAACCATTTTATGTTAAACCTGTTGGTCTCTTTAATTTTCTATGCCCGTGGACACTTGTGTTGCCTTTTTGGCCCGTGTACACAACCATTTTCTCTTTTATCATTCAGTAGGCCTTCATATTACGATACTATATGCTGTATTCCAACTTAAAATACATTCTCAAATATTTATATATTAATCAATTCCCTAAACATTTTATGCTTGTGGACATTTGTGGACTTCATTTTGGATGTTTGTGGACATTAATAAGATAAACTGATGTATAAATGCCCAAAAATAAAACATGTTAATCAATGTAAATATAATGCATTATACACCTACTCAAATACAGAGCTATCATTCTGGTCTCCCCATATAAGGATCTCAGATATTGATCTCAGTGTCTCCACCAGCATGCTTCTGTTGCCTTCTGTGACTGTCTGGTTCTTGCACAGTACTGTATATAGGAACCTCAATGAAATATCAAAAGAAAGTTTTTACTGCCACTGCCATGTGTGTGTGTGTGTGTGTGTGTGTGTGTGTGTGTGTGTGTGTGTGTGTGAGAGAGAGAGAGAGAGAGAGAGAGAGAGAGAGAGAGAGAGAGAGAGAGAGAGAGAGAGAGAGAGAGAGAGAGAGAGAGAGAGAAA